TGGGGGCGCCCCTTGAAACCCCTGTACTATACTTGTTAGTGCCCTCCACTCAGGGTTTTCATAAGCACACTCTGAGCCCTTTCTATCACTGACATAGAAGTCCACCTATAACTCTCCCCTGTGGTTCTGACCCAAAAGTGATACCTTCTCTGTGATCCCCAGGCTCAGCGAACATGTCCCTCCTGACACTTATTTCTCAAATGACTATCAATACATTAATGACCCGCTATAACTTACTCCTATTCCGTACTCGCAGTATATAAAATTGTAAGTTGAGATAACGAGCCGGGTGTGTTCTCTGAAAGAGGCTGACAATCACCACTTATTGAATGGCAATACTAAAGAGGAAAAACAGAAAAACAGGAAATTCAATAAGCAGCTTTGCCGCCCCTTCTGCCCGGTTTTCCTCTAAAATTCATCAGTGGATCCTTGATATTCAAAGATATAAGGTACAAGGTCTCAGTGACCACTTAGTTTTAATAAAAATCCCACAACCATACAGTAAATTAACCAAAAGAACAATGAGTGGGAAGTTTCTATGAGCGTCCAGCTTCCCAGTCTGGCCTTGATAATGTAATTCCTTCTTAAAAATTGTCTTTTCGAAAGCATAGTACTTAGAATATTATTATTATTATTTTATTATTATTTTATTATTATGTATCATATGAACTCAATATGACCAACCGATGTCGAGCATTAATAATAACAGAATTTAGTCTTGTTTCTGTTTCTGGCATCAAATAAATATAAAGTGACACATAGATCTTGTACCCCCACCCTTTTTTTTTTTATATCATAATGTAATGTTGAACATACACATGAAAATAATATTTTAAATAAATCCTGTCCTAATAATTTAAGACTTTTAAACAGATACAGTGACCTCCTACCAGAGAGTACAGCTGATAATACACACTACTCTCACACAACAGGTGTAACACCTGCAGCGAAGCTAATGATGACAAGAAACAACCCCGCATTGACTTTGGTTCGATATCATCAGCAAAAGCAATGAAAAAGATGTACTAAAAAGTTTTAACTGTGTAATCTACAATGTATGTATGACCCAGGTATGAACACGACGAGAAGCAAGTGTATGTGCGTTTTTCCTTTATTTTTATGCTCAAATTTCAATCTATGTTTAGTTTTCTGTTGTTTGGTGGTGTAGTTTTGTTGCCTCTAAACTGGTGCAAATATTCTTGTATGTTAGCACCTTGTCCACGTAGATGGCGTAGCTCTCCTTCCTGGTCTTTCTCTTCTTCTTGCCGGTCTTAGTGACGCCTTTAGAGATGGCTTTCTTTGAGTTTTTTCGGTGCTTTCACGTTCAGGCATCTTGTCTTCAAGAAATTATCTTCCTTCAAGTAAGGTCTGTAGGGTTGAGTTGATATGTTTGTATACACGCATGCAAATACAGCTGCGCTGTTCCTGGCACGGGATTGGTTGAGCGTTAAAACGCGTCTGAGCATGCTTACATCAACAACATATAGGGTAAGATTTGCTTTACAGCATAGACATATATACATATGTATATATGTCTATGCTTTACAGCAGCTCCAGATTAGTGATGGGAATTTCAGCTCTTTTTAGAGAGCCGGCTCCTTTCGCTTGGCTCACTAAAAAGAGCCGACTCTTTCGGCTCCCAAGTGGCTCCTCAGATTTTTTGTTGCTTAAATTAATTTATTACCAAATTATGTGTAAAACGAATTACTAATGTAAATACATACATTATATCAAATGTTTATTATTTATATGGCTTTATTAATATACTCAACATGGAGTAGAGTGCTATCAAAATAAATTATAAAATACAAAAACAAAGACCCATCTCAATTAGACAAAAAGCTGCTCGATATGAAATGTTTAACTTTGCACAGTCTACACTCTGCCTTTGAACTGTCTATCACATTAAAATGTGTCCAAACTTTACTACGTTTCCTGTCATTCATTTTCCTCACCTTTCCAGTGGGTAGTCTCTGTCTATGTAGCGCCAAGCTCTCACGTCTCCCTCCCTCCTGTTCACATGCTCACTGTGCCGTGTGTGTCTGTGCTTCCTCAGGTTGGCTCAGACAAATTGCATGAGCACTCACAGGTGTGCCAAATAGACCGTATTCGTCTTAATTTTTTCCTTTTCTCATTTTAAAATGTTTTATATATGTTAGAAAGGTGAGAGTATAACACAAACATGAAATACAAAAATACATTTTAAAGATAAAGTTAAGAAAACAGCATGATTAACCTAACAGAATCACAAGAATTACACCATTACAAACAAAAATAAGAAGAAGAGACAAACATTATGTTGTTGCTGACTTAAAGAGTGTGACAGCTGCTGGGATGAAGGACCTGCACCAGTGCTCCTTATGGCACTGAGGGAGCAGCAGTCTGTTTGTAAAGTCTGTGTGAGAAGTAAAGTTCAAAATATAAAACACGATGCATTAAGGAAACTATTTATTAGTTTAAAACAGATGAAGGAAAGATCCACAACACAAAAATTTGATCATGACAAAATTTAAAATGGAAGTTAAACTCTTGAATGGAAAATCATTTGTAAACAAACATAAAAATAATAAAACAGGATTTTTTTAAATCATCATATATATATATTATACATACTGAAGTAAATGCATACTCTGGACACATACTATACGCCCTACTAGCAAAAGTCTTTGAAAACATTTAATTTCTTTGTACATCTCTGGACTCACTTTTCTTACATAAAGGCTGCTTCATATACTAGCATTTTGACAACATTATATATATATATATATATACCATGCCGATTCATACAGTGTGTGTATGTCTATGTATGTTAATGAGACACACATATCTTGCTTTGCATTATTTTAATGCTGCCTTGGCAGTTGTTGAAACAGGAAGCTGCAACACAGAATATCTCCTTGGCTTTCATATCTTTGTATTATTATCATATCTTTGTCTTGTGGGATCGGATGCAGAGTTAATAAGCCCATTTACTCTCACAGATCCAGTATCTTTTAGAGTTGCATGATTCATCATTCCAGCTGTTCTTTGATTCTGCGCAGTCTTCATTTCCACGATTATTTGGCTCAAACCAACCCCAGTAGCTGAAACCACAAAACAACAAAAATTAATAATTTTCTAAAGCCAGACACGTAGACTCGAAAGGCAGATTACATTTCAACTTGATTAATTATATATATATGTTAACTATAAGTCTTTCTCTGTATCAGTGAAACTGTAGTTACAGTCACATTTTAGTATATCAGAATTTAACCACCCTTGAAATGTATCATCTAGAGTGTTAAAAACAAGAAGGTGAACAAAGCTTGGCTAAAGTTACAGTTAAGTTAAGGCTGCCCCTCCAGAAGCAACAAATAGTAATAATAACTGTTTTATTTTGCTGGTGTGAATGATGTAAATATGAGTAGAGACCAAATTAAAATTATATATACATAACACAAAGCGATGCCCTATATGCCCCCGCATCTTATGACATTGTAGCATCCAAACTTGGTATGTTGCCATTGTGTAAGCGAAGCGAAGTGAAATAGGATAAAAAAATGAATGGCAACAATTTCCTATTAATGTTTATAGAAAATCTTATTATAGAGGTCCAGATATTCTGTGTATCTTTACAGAGATATGAGTCAAATATTTGGTTTTGATTATTTATATTTTATATTAAGTTGCACATGTACAGTTTAGTTTTTAGTCAAAAGCTGCCTCAAATATTTAGACACCATTTTTACTGCATATTTGCATATAGTGTTTATACTTTTCATTTATAGTCTTATATTTTCTATTATATTTTGTAATATTCTTATATTGTGATAACTTATTGTACTTCCACTTCTGTACTCTTGCACTACATTCCCCAATGATGCTGTGTCTAATTTGAGCTTTCTTCCTCGGGGATCAATAAAGCGTACATCTTATCTTATACAGTGAGTATATTCACTAAAAGCATCAGAGTTTGTCTAAAGACACATCAAAGTGCTAATTTAATGTCAGTGTATGCAAAAAATATTAGATAAATACTAAGAAAATTGTTGTGTGTTGTTAAGTATCCCTTTGTAAAACCATTTCATTAAGGTTTAAAACACTAAGACATTATTATGGTACACTAACCTGAGATATCCTGTCCCTGTGTGTTAGGCTTTAAAAATCTTAGAACCACAATACTCCCATATTGCAGCTGGATACAGTGAGTGAGCCACCTCTGGCTGATCAGAAGCATCATGGTAACAGAAAAGTTAAGTTTAGTATGAACCTCGTGGTCAGCGGAGTCCCATCCACCCATTTCCACCTCCCCCTCTGTTGCTGAGTCCAGTCAGTCCGATCCACACGGCTTCTGGAAACGTCTAGTGAACTCCTTGTTGACAGAGAGACAGTCATCAAACTAAACTACAGTAATAAACTGTTTAATCTGACCTCAACATCCTCAGTAACACACACACACACACACACACACAGACACACATGTACCTGTTCTTCTCTGCTGTTAATAATCACCAGATCTGCACCTCTCTGCAGACAGTCATTCTACTGTCTTGCCAGGATTCTCTTGAGAAGAAATGTTAATAGGAAACTCCGCTGATAATACTCCCATCCTAGTTGGCTGTACCGATCTATGTAAAATTAACACCAAAAAAACTCTCAACATCTCAGTGACGATTATCTGTTACATCAAGTCTTTTTTTAAAAACTAAAAACAGAATGACAACATGGCGCCTCTTCAGTCACTTCCTGTTATTCAGCCCACTGAATAAGCTCAGCAGTGTTTCTGGGCTGTACTATCTAGGTTATATTATATTCTATTTCTTTTTATTTTCACATTTTGAGTTTAAATGGTCTCAGTTTGGTTTGGTTTAGGCACAAAAGCTAATTCGTTTTAGGGAGAGATTTCCAGTGTGTATTGCAGCGTATATGCCAGGTGTACAGAGTATATCCACTTATTTATCAGTCAGCGTTGGGTAAACTCACATGTGTAAATTATCAATAGTGTTTTGCAAGTTGTTTTTAACTAAGATGGCGAAAAAATGATATGAGTGGGATGGAGTAAGAAATAAGGAATACTTCACTCAGTTATTGATTATTATTATTATGAACATAATTAGTTGTAACAAAGTAACAAAGTGCAAAAACTACATTTATGAGTGAGGATAAATATGCAACGCAGTCTTACATATCACTGTTTATAACACTGACGGACACTTACAAAGTAGTAGTATACCTACTTCTCCAAAACCACTACATCTATGAGGTTAAAATAAAAACATAACTTACCCTAACTATGTTACGTACTTAAATAAGTAAAGTAACTTATGTATGTAGCTTTTTAAAGTAAACAGAAGTCAACATTGACTTTGTTAAATACACAAATAGCTGTCTCCAGTGTTTTTGGCCCATCCATCCACTGCAACCTCCTCCATAT